TGCTTCCAATCCCTCCCTCTCCCCTAAAATGACAGGTTCAATTCTGAGCTACTTATTTTCTACTCAGTAAAACATGAATCATTGACTTAATTTGCCAGTCCATGGGTTCTTTATTGCTCTGATGGGGAAGAAAAGAGACAAGATAATTGTATGTGTAGGCTCAGACATTTATCTTTGTGTGTTCTTTATCTCAGCCTTTTTAGAGATTGAGACCATTATCTGCTGCTTGAGGTCTTGCTTTAAAATGTACTCAGCTACTAAGAGTAATGCACATCATTTTTTCACAAACTGGTGTTACAGTGGAATTAATATAAGAAGTCTAAAGATGATTGTGTAATGGCACATATAGGAGGAGATGGCAGCTGAAGCCTTAATATTTATACTTGAAGAATCTAACTAAGGATTTAGATTTCCTGGATAATGAACTTCCCTGTGCCCTGTAATTCAGAAATAGACTTCGTATTTCTAACTCCTGGCCTTTCAGATGCTCTGACCTGCTTTCTGCATCTCCACTGCCTGGCTGATTAGAGTGCTCTTGGCTTCTGGCGAGGGAAGTGGGGAGGATCCAGCTGTCCCCGCTGGAGCCGTGGGTGGGCGAGCAGCTGATGGAGGGGAGGCTGCTCCTGCTCTCCTCAGAAGTAGGTCAAGAGCACCCGCTTATTTTAACAGCATCATGAGGCTGTGCATGCATTTACATGTGTTGCATTTGTGTCTGCATCTAAAGAATAGTTCTTGCATGCACTTAAACGATTTTGAGATTTTTATTTTTAAACATACATATTTCCTTGAGGGGTTATTAGACTGTGACAGATGCAATTAAAGCAAAAACTGCTTTTTCTTTTTCTTTTTTTTTTCTAGTTAAATTTATGTACTTTTCGTTTGCCTATCAGGCTGCAGTGAGTTTGTAAGTGTTGCAAAATACACATTTAGTGGAGATTGTGAAAACTTCAGACCTTTATGACTATTGCTGTAGTTCACAGAACAAGTGGGCGCTTGCTTCCCAGCGGAGTGTGTTTTACACCAAGAGACAGTCTCTATTGACCTTGTACTGCCAAGTCATAAATTCATAAAATCTGTGCTGCTCATGGAAACACTGACAAGCCTTGAACTGCAGTGGACTGACAGAATAAGAATAATAAAATTTCCAGCTGCAGTTAATGTCAGAGTTTAATTTTGGTTTTGCTGGCTGGCAGTGGCCTCATGGTAGAACAAATGAAGTGTCCTGGAGCTTTTTGTTGATATTGTCACAACACAGATTCTCTCTGATAATTTGGATATATGAGTCTGACCTAAAACCAACCCACCAAAAACAAAGAAGGAAAACTGCCTTGTGAAACCCATGGGCAGGAGTCTTGGGCATGTTCAGGTTGGATATAGGGCCTCAGAGGTGAGACCCATGGGCAGTGCCATTTTCCAACCACTGAAGTGCAAGCAAGCTGTTTGGAAGAGATGTAAGAATTGTAAACTCTTATTAATGTTATTAATGGGGCATGAATTAACATTTGCATCAATAACTATCAGTTTTGAGATATCAATCTGTCTTTGTGTAGAAATTACTTCCTTTGTGAAAGGAGTAGTAAGGATGATGCCCAGGATGAAGGTGCTGGCAGGGGTGATGGGTGTATATGTCAGAGGATCCTGATGTGTGCTTTTGAAAATGAATCTTGGAGAACTTCCTTACTGTTAGAAGACTGATGTGAACTACAGGGTTGTGGCATAGTGGGCCACATGCAGGTGTGGACACCAGAGATTCCTGAATTTGCTAGAGCTTGGTTTAATTTTAATATGATTTATAATGCCACAAGGAAGGATAATTAATGTTGCAATTCTTCTTTAGCAATGAGAACAAAAAAAATAGTTCTTGCTTTACAAGAATGTTACAAAGGGTAGAGAAGGTTAAATATGAAAAAAGCAGTTGCTGGCCCATTTAGGCATTTCTTACTGATGCCTTCTGTAGTTCTTTGTCAAAACGAGATTTATTCCTTGCATTTAGTCTAGATTTATTCATAGATTTATTCTGCTGTGGCAGAACTCTCTCATGTGTTTGGTTTTTTTTTCCTTGTTGCAAAGCAGCTCCATGTGATGCTCCAGTGCTGCTTTCTGACAGATAAAGTAAAACATCATTGTCTGCTCTGATTCAAAACTGGCTGGTACCAGTCCTGTAGCCACATCTGCTCATTGCAGATCTGACAGATTTGCATCCTCTTGGCTTTTGTGTGTCTTGGATTAGGATGATTTCTCTTAACTGTGTATTGAAGTGTTCACAGCTTTCCTATCCTGGCTGTGGTAGGAAGGTACAGAGAGTACCTTCCTGGTGCTACTGCACTCTCCCACTGGCTGTTCTTTTTGATGTCTGCTGAGAAAAATCTTCATCAGTTAATCTTCAGCCATTGAATCGGGAAGCAAGATTTTCTGCATATAATGACTGTACACAGAATTATTTTAGATCCTGTTTTTTAAATGTAATTCCACTATACTTCCTGCTAAAATTTGCCATTGCCTCATGTTAGACCTCTGAGTATTTTCTACCTGTCACTATTTCAGGTGGAGACTGAAGCCTGGCAAGAAAGCCGCTCAAGCATTCCTCTTTTTGGTTTTGGCTCTTTAGTCTTCTGTCTGAAATAGTTTCCTATTATTTATAACCCATCCATTATTTTGCTGCTTTTGGTGCTGGACTTGGAAGCATATTGTCTGTTTAATTCAAATTACTGATTTAGCTGGTGTTTATCTCACACCATTTTCTAGCATTTTGAAGTGGTGTGTGGTTTTTGTTCTTTTTTCTTTCAATAAATAAATTAAAAAAAGAAGAAAAAATTCATGTTTTTGACCAAACTGCCATGTGGGTCTTCTCCACTGTGTTTTTGCATCTCTGTGCTTTTGCAAAGCAATTGAAGCAGCTGCTTCTGAAGTCTTGTGAAAAGTGCAGACCTTGGGAAGGAGCCTGGAGCTGACTCCTCATTGGAAAGTGTTACAATTGAGAAATCTGGGGAAGTACTAGTTCCTGGAGTGGCTTGGAGATTATGGAGCCTGTTTGAAATGTTTAGCAAAAAAATTATAATTTTAAAAATCCAGGGGCAGGCAGAAGCACTCTAGGCAGATTTTCAAGTACCAGTCTGTTTTTAAGGTGAGCAGAATGGCCTTGTCAGCAAGGCAGCTAAAAAGGTGTTTTGGAGGTGACAAACTTTTCAGCTGTAGCCAAATTTAATTGCTTATGGTTCTGTCAGACTTGTAAGTAACAGGCCAAAAAACAGCCGTAGGCCTGAGAATGACAAAATCTTTGAAATGTGAAATGTCTGCTCAAATGGGAGGTAGACAGGATGCTGTTCTATTCAAGAGGGGTTAGTTTTTTGTTTGTTTTTGTGGTTTTTTGAACTTGGAAGATGGGATAGATTTCAGCAGAGCTAAGATCTCCAGGGCAGAAGTTACTGTGGAGGAAGGAGAGTAACAGCAGGAACTACTCGACTACTTTTTAAAAAGCCTTTTTTATGTAATGTAGATGAGTGGGAGGAAAAATCCTGCTGTCCTTAGTCTTGCTCTGTTCTTTTGAGAAATAGGAAGATAGTTTGGTCTGTTTAACTTGAGGTTCATAGTACATTCGAAAGCACCAGTGGCTGTTCAGACCTGCTGAGTTTCCCAGCTGGACAGCTATAAGTAAGAAAGCTGGGCTTTAATGGTCCAAAAAGCACCAGACAGACAGGTCCTGGGGAATATGTTTCTCATATTTTTGGCATTTTATCAATGTGTGTGCTTTGTTGTCTTGAAGCTCATGTTCAAGAGTTCACATGAGTAAGTGTATATATATGCCTTGCCAATTCTGTTTTCAAGTATTAAATATTTTATTGCAGCTAGAGCTGCAATAGCTCATGAATCTGTTAACCAGTGGCTACTGATGGTGGATACAAGAATTATTCTGAAGTGGATCACAAAAAGCTGCAAGTACTTACGGCTGTTTGCATCCCCAAGAATGCTGTGGAGGCAGACAGGACCGTGGGTGCAGAAAGGGATTAGACAGCTCCAGCTGCAGGCACAGGAGGGAGAGTAGGTGATCCATCTCCCTGATGGAACCCTCATGGGTGTTCTGGGAATGTGGGAGGATCTGAGCTGCAGGAGCTCTAAAGAGCATCTGGGATTTTGGCTGCTGGAAGCTGTGTCTGCAATTGATGGGCCATTGATCCGACTTAATGGGTTTGTTCTTGTGCAAAGTGATGATTTCCTTCTTTCAGAATATCTGTTCTCCAGTGGAATCCCATTTAATGAGCTGATGCAGTAGAGTGACTGTTGCTGCTTGGCTTTTTTGTCAAGAACTGGTGCTTTCTTCTTTATTGGCTTTTCAGTCTTGTTTGGCACAATGAATTTCATGCTAGTATTCTAATTTAGAAAGATTAGAAGAGTGGAAGACATTAACCAGAAAAATGGTATGTCTGTTATTTTCCTCTTGAATCTTTCCCTTCACTTGCTCCCATTTGTTTCTTGGAGCTCACTTTCTTTTCTACTCATATCTTTCAGCAGTCCAATTGCATCTCTCATCTATAAACACCTTGGAGCTTTCTGGGGCAGAGATGATCACCTGATACAGTTTTATATACAAAAATATTTTAGTACCCTCCCCTGTGGTCTGTTGTTGAAGTAGTATTTATATTTTTAAAAACATTTCCAAATACGAGCTGTTACATAAAAGTTGTAATGTGAGACTTCTGGGCTCAAAGCTCCTTTTCTGAGATTTAGAGTAGATGGCTAAAATGCTACCCCTGTTTCTGATTTTTTTTCAGCACATTACCTATTTACTAGTATGGAAAAGTTTACTTGTATGGAAAGGTCAAGTTTATTACAGCCTTGGGTGTGTTTAGTTGTAGGATGAAGTCCATTATTTTTGAGTATATGTCATTATACCACGAAAGGTAAGTACTTGAAATGTGTTAGTCTGTGGAGCACCTGTTTAAAACCACTGACCTCTTGGGTGATATAAGTGGCCTGTGAGTGTTTTAAATCTCTTGTTTCAGGAAGTTAAGAAGGATGTAGAGCCCAAGAATGATGCTGTGCCACTCGGGAGGGAGAAATCTGGCAATGTGGCCAGCCTTGTGCAGCGTATGAGCAGCTATGGGCTTCCAGCAGGAGGATTTCAGCCTCATCCCCCGTCCAAAGGCTTCAAGAAGAGTATGTGGTCTTTCCAATTCCTTCAATTGTGCATACTGCTGACATGCGTTTTTCAAATAAACATGAACTATTTAATTCATTACTTAGTTTTAAGGTTACATGGAAAATTAGAAACAGAGGAGGAAAAGCTGATTCTAAGACAAATTTTGATCCTGTATTTATAGGCAGAAAGCTTAAATGTAGCTTTTAACACCAGTAATAGGGATGAATTTTCCTGTGAGCAGGATTTAGACTCCTTCTAGGTATCAGAGAGCTCCGTAACTTCATTTGAGTATTGTATTATCAGGTACCTGAATGGAGAGCTATAGGCCTGTTTATGATAATAAAAAATTTTCCTGTGAAAAGAACATTTGAAAGATGAAAACATCAGGTTTTGCTACAAATTCAGGGTTCTGACAAGGAAACACTGTGTAGTTCAGATTCCTTCTGATAGACTTGCTTCTGGTGTGAAGTAGGGTGCAGTTGGGGGTGTTAACAAAAAGTGGAAGTTTTCCTTTCGTTGTAACAGTGACCCTCAAGATGGCAAGGAGTTTAGCACTGGTGCTTCTGTATCTGTGTTTTCTATGTTATAATGCCAGATTTTATATCAAGGTGACTATAAAGCCTAAAGCAGAAAACTTACCTTTCCCTGCATCCAGAAAATGGGTTTGTGATTTGTATTTGGACACACCAATCTCTTATAAGATATTGCTTTAAATTTCTGTGGCTTCCTCTGTCTTACAAGGTTTTGAAGGCATTTATGTTTAAGCTTGCTTTTTGGAAAAGAATTCAGAACTTACTGGTTCTGGCATGTTTATGCTTTGAGGTTTTGCCTATAAAAGAAGAGCCACTAGTAGTCTTTTAAAACCCTGAAATGGGACCGCCACCTTTACAGATTTGTTGAGACTTTGTTCCGGGAAGCTACGGGTTCAGAATCACTTTTTAGTGACTGATCTGTGTGTGTATGTTGGTGACAGCGTGTAGGTGCCTGTCAGATGTTTACACAGCAAGCTTTGGGAAAATCCAACCTGAAAGATTAATGCTGTTCCTAGATAAATACAGCCAGACTCTAAAAGGGAATCAATGTGATCCTTATGGGTCTTCCCAACTGGAGATACTCTAGGATTCTGTGAACATGATCTGATACCAGTTCAGCTGTCAGCTATGGTTCTGGTCACCCTAACCCTGGAATGTTCCCATATTTTCCATGTCACATTCTCATGCTGGTGGCTGTTAATCACTACAGGCCAGGGTAGAAGGTACAGCTTGGTCTCAAACTCTGCAGAGCTCTGGCTACTCATCCTTCTGGAGAAGATTATATTCAAGCAGTTCCCGTTAGGCACACAGCTGTTTACCTGCTGCAGTGACAGTCTCTGCATTTCCATTTCACTTGCTGTTCTCTTTTTCCTGGAAGACTGTTTAAACAGCTCCTGCAGATCCTGTTTGCTCTGTGCCTGGGCAATCACTTGCTTTCCAGAGCGTAGTTGTCTTTGTGTTTCTGGTTTTTCTCTTGCTGAAATGAGGTTTACAGTGTTAAAAACAGTTAAGTTTCGTTCATCCGGCTCTCCCCGAATTCAGGTATTTTTGTGTCAGGTGGGTGGTAAGCTGCAGGCAGAATTTGAATGTCTGTCAGTTAGATGTCTGCCTTTGTTCAGCAGAAGGAAAATACAGAAGGCGTGCTAAGTGAAGGCAACAAAGAGCTAAATTTGGTTTGCCCTATACGAAACAAACAAAACCTGAAGCCAGACAAGTTGTTTTGGAAAGGGACAGAATTGCCTTCAGGCTGCCAGCCCATCAGTCCTACAGCAGCACATGAAGCTGGAGTGCTGTTCTCTGCAATGTTCGGTTCCCTTCCTAGATTATTCTAAGATTTTCAAAAGTGGGAGGCAGTACATCCTAAACTGTGTCACTGGAAACAGACCTCAGAGGAGAGGGAAGTTTCTGGATGTGAAATGCATCCATGGGTTTCTCTCCCATTTAGATCTAATTACACTATGAAAAAGAACACTGAGATCAGATTTACACCAAATGGCAGTGACTTTTTAATTTGCCTTTTTTTGGTATCAGTTAATCTCCTACAAAGCAGAAGCCTTGAAAGCACTGCAGGAGGCAGTAAAGGCCATTGAACCATTTATTGCAATTGTTCTTAACTGAACAATCCCTCTGGGGTCATGCATGAGTTGATAAAAGCATGAGTGGAGGTAAAAACAGGGTGTATTATGTAGGCAATTATGTGTTATTAGAAATAACCCATGAAGCTCCATGTTTCTGGTTTATTTGTTTCTTGAATAAATCATACATCAGCGTGTAGAAAATTCTTGATTTGGTAAGCACACTCTCAGAAATTTTAGATGCTGAATATTACTCTGATGCCTGGCCTGTTTTGTAGTAAGGATGTTGGGTGTGGTTTTCTAAATGCCTTGCTCTGGACTTTGAACATTGCTATAAAAAGACAAGGATCAAGCTTGGAGGCAGTATCTGTGTTTTGAAATGTTTCCACACAGCCAGTCTTAATTGCTAAAGGTTGAGTGTCAAAGGAGTACAAAGTATAAGAGAGAACATGGAAATCACACAGCTCCTGTAAGCTTAGGCTTTACCACTTCAAGCTTTTGATTGATATTTTCATTTAAACTGTGGCAGATTGTTTTTGAGGAGGATAGGGAGCATATATGGGTCATAGCTCGAGATAATAATTGACTTCAAAAGCCTGCTGACTGCTCTGTTGTGGAAAAGGTCTGAAGGCATGGCCTCTTGTTTGAAGGAGAAGTGCATAAATCGTCTGGGTTCAGCAGCAGCAGCAGCAGCAGCACTCCAGGATATGTGCAGTGATTAGGCAGTGTGGGTTCACACCACTGTGGCTGCAGGGCTTGGGTTGTCAGAAGCCACTTCAATGCTCTCTCCTCTCAGGATGTCATTTTGCCTTTTTAATGCCTGTAGAGCTTTAATGATATAAGGCAAACAGCTAAAGACTGCACTTGATTTTAATCTTGCTTTTGTCAAAGACTGCTAATTGACAGTTTGAATTACTAGATGCCATATTGGCACAGAGAAAAAGGAGGGATTTTTTTTAAATTCACACTTAAAAATGAGTTCAGTTTTGAAATATGAGCCCAGCAAACATTGGCATTACCTCAGAGCTGTGGTTAGCAAGGTCCTTGTTAGAGGCCAGAAGAGCTGTAAGCTCTCCAGCATGGTGCATAACAAAACATGCTCCTGCTTTCAGGATTATTTAAGGACTGGAGGCTCAAACTTGCACATTTTCTTTCAAGTAGGTGCTAACTGGCAGTGATTGACATTCCTGCAGATTTTGGTTGGGGAATAGCTTGAGAAATTGCTGTAGTGGGGATTTACCTGGCTTGCTTGTGTCAACATGCTTTTTATAGCAGGTTGATAATTAATATAGTGTTCATTTGTCAAAACTATGGCTCCCTAGCCTAAGGTGACTCAAGCAAACCACAAAAACCAGGATCAAAACCTACATAGCTTTTTGGGATGGTTTTTGGGTCTTCAGGAACAGAGGAAAGATGAGTTCTCCTTTAATGAGTGTTCTTACTTTTGGTGTTTCTCTTGAATCAGGGTCCAAGAAGCGACAATGCAAAGTGCTGTTCGAGTACCTCCCTCAGAATGAGGATGAGCTGGAACTCAAGCTGGGGGATGTGATTGACATCATTGATGAGGTAAGCTGTTCTACAGAGCAGGCCATTCATGTGCTGAGATTCAAACTACTTTTTTGGCTGTTTAATTGTATTACAAGTATGTTGGGAAAATAGCATGTGAGGTAGTGTTTTTGCAGCTAAAGTTAATTATTTAGGAGTTTTTTCTCTCAGGATCTAATACTAAAACAATGAATACTAGATGTTTGAAAGAAATATTTGATCATCACAGTAATAAATTGTGGTCTGTTACACAGATTCATTATTTGAAGGCATTTTGCAGTTCTCTGCCCTTGTGTGATCCTTGGCTTTAGGATGTTTGTGGTAAAACTGTTGGACTAATTTCTTTAGGCTGACAAACTCCAGTTTTGGACAAACTCCAAATTGGTATAGGTGAAAAACGTTATTTGACTTGATTTGTCAGTTTCAAGCTCTCTTGTAAACTCATTGAGTTGGAGTGGTGGTTTCTTACCTTAACATACCCATGTGCTTCCTTTGTATCTGTTCCATTCAATAGCAGTTGTGGGAAGCTTGTATGTGTCAGAGGAGGGTCTCTTCCAAATGTGAAATCTGTCCAGGAAGCTGTGGAGAAGATCAGAATGATTGTGGAAGAAACCCTTTTAGAACTGGGTGGAAAACTTCTGCACAGCAGGCTCTGACCTTCACTGGTGCCATCTCTTCCTCCCTGAGGCTCTGAGGAAGGGGAGTGAAGCTTGCTTTCTAGCCATGTGTTATTGGTGGTGCTTTTTAAGTAGTTCTGTGAGACTGCTTTTCCGGTGTATGACCCTCTTTGGAAGACAGTGCTAACCTCTGAGGGAGGGCTCCTCATTTTCCTAGCAAAGAAAAAAACTGTGCCCTTAGATGCATTTGCACTAATACTTACAGAATTCAATATCTGGGAGTAAACAGAGCAAGTGACTTGCAAAACCTGCTCACTAAACTCAGTTTCATAAATACCTTTGTGCATGGGTGTTTTTAGAGGAATGTTCCTGGGTAATCTCAGCAGTTTAACTTGTAGATGGTGCCTGCACTGGCAGCTGTGACTGGATGGTCCAGTGGAAGCACTCATGAAGGAGCACTTGCAGTGAACTGTTGTGGGAGCTGCTGTTTTGGTTGCACCTGTCAGCATCTGGAATTACTTTCACAGGGGTGTGTGGTATCATGTATCAGAGATGGCCAAGTAGCCAAACAGAATAAAAAGATCAGAGCATTTCCTCATCTAGTTTCTTAAGGAAGTGTGGATTATATTTTATTACTTAGATTTTTTTTGTTAGTCACCATGCATTAAAAAATCCTTTTTTAATGATTTGGAAATATGTTTTTGTAGTACCCAGTCTTTGCTACTTACATTAAAACTCTTAACGAATTTTTATGAAAATGCTACCTGGTAGAAAAATATTGCAGCTTACTATGGTCACAGAGCTGTTTGCACACTGTTCATGGTGATGTAGAAGAGACCTGACAGGTGTAGACTACGTCTGTCTGCTTCACAAAACTGTACTGATGGGACCAGAAATGTAAAGAATAGTGGAAAATACTGTCCACTGGTTGTGCAATATGCTGGGATAACTTGTCTTATGTAACTTGTTCTCACTGCTATGAGATGGTTTGCTTCTGTTTATATATAAAAGGTGCTGTTTCTGTACATGCAGATGACTTTTAACAAGGAAAGACTGGTCACCTCTTTCTGTGGGGAAAATAAGGTAAAATCAGCTCTGTGAGGGGATCAGCTCTGTTATTTACTTGAGAACAATTCAGTATTTAGCCATTGAGTGGTTTTTGTAAATTGAGTAGATACAAATGACACCACTGGTCATGAAAGTAAAGGTGGCGGCAAATGGGTTCAGAAATGAAATGATTGACATGAAAGAGAGCAGAAGTTACTTTTTGGGAAGAAAATCGTGCTATGTGCTGGCTGAATCCACGGGGCTTTTTGTTTATAGAACGTCACGTAGGTTTTACACATGAAGAACATGCAGAGGGTGCACGTGATGACTGTGTCATTGCTCTAAAACCTTTGTTTCTCCTTTTTATCATCCCCTCTCTCCTGTAAGGAGCAGCACTAAATAGCAGATTTATTTTTGTAGTATTATATTTTTAATATTTGCATACTGCTTTTTCAAGTGAAATAAAATTTCTTATAACATCATTAGGGAAGTTTTTAGTAAAAAAACAAAAAACAAACCAGATTGGTAAAGCTGCTTATTTTAGCCTTCCTTCCCATTTTTTCTTTGGAAGTCTGAGTTTTTCATAGAAAGAAGTCGATGGGATTCACACTGAAAAAAAAGTTCTGGTGTGTATACCAGGGCTGTACCTCCCTCTTGTGGAAATTGGATCATATGATAATATTTTGGAATGGAAGAAAAGGGTTATGAAACTGGCATCTGTGTTGTTTCTGCTAACAGATGTGAAGATGTCCTCCTCCAAAGTATGCAGAACTTCTTTAGTCTGTGTCTTAATGCTGATGAAAGAAACCTTTTTGGGCAATACAGTTTGTGTATAATCAGGGGTTTATATAATGGCAGTATGGGGAGGAGGCTAACAGGAGCGTGCTCAAGAAATTTTGGATTTGTTCCTGAGTGCTTCTGAGTTGGCATCACTTTGCTGTAAAGTGCTTTGCTGACCACATCTCTTGGCAGAAAAATAAATGGATGCTCAAGTTGCTTTCCGTATTGTAACCATTAAAAGTCCCTTTTTCATGGCTCCTGAGTGAGTGGTGTGTGTGAGTCAAGGCATTTGTATTTTAGTTTTCTGTTATGTGTTCCATAAAGCCTGAGGTGCCAGAGCCTGGGCAGCACTTGCCAGTAATCTGTGCTTAAAATTTGTTTCAGAGAACCAGTCTTGAGTTTGAACCATCCACAATAAAGCTGTATTTTTGTATGAGGATGCCTTTAAAAACAAGTGCTCCTTTCATTGCCTGTGTCTGCAGCTGCCAGGTTCTGCTTGGGCTCTGCTTGCCTGGAGGTAGGCTGGCATTTAAAAACTGTGCCTGTGTGTCAGGCATAGTGACCTACAAAGCCAGGCTAAAAAAAGATTATGCAAACAGCTGCTGCTTGGTTTGTTTTTTTTCTTTTCCTCTTGCTTTCCTTTCTTAAAAACAGCTTTCTAGCCTCAAAACAGGACAACATAAACTGTTCTGAAAATTTATCTTGATTATAGTTTTTAACTAGTGCTCATCAGATAGGCTGAATTTATTTAAGACATTTTGAAAACTGTTCATAAATTGTAAGAGCACAATTCTTAGTCCTTTGGCATCATTATACCCCATCACCTCTTCCTACCTAGCTTTTGCTTGTTCTGCTTTAGTCCATGTGGTGTATTCCTGATAAACTTGACAATATATTTCTAGCCTTAGGACTGCTGTGTGCCAGCACAAAATCCTCATGGACTCAGTGGCGTTGGTCAGCTCTGATGGGCAGGTCCCTGCCCCTGTGGTGCATGTAAGGACAGGCTTTGCTGTTCAGTCTCCTGCTAGAAGGAGTGGACAGTTTAGCTTTGCATTACTCTGAGGTCCTTAAGGACTTTCCTCTGTTCTACCCAACATTATCTGTAAAAAATTTCTTTGAAACTTGTCTTTTGATCAAAATTGTGTGAGTCCCTGAGGATATAAAGCCAGTCAGGGCAGGACTGGTGGAAATTGGACAAGACAGAGGAAAAGATAGATGGACAGCAAGTTCACATAAAAATTTCCATGGAGACACAGACTCAACTTTTCATCTGTATTTTATGAACAATTTAATACTTTCTTGTTGTGTTAAATGTGCAATGCCTCTTATTCTGTCTTGAGGAAGCTGATGAACATTTTGCTGCTTTTCATGATTAACTGGCATGGGGGTGATCTCCCGTTCCAGGATCATTGCTGTAGTGATACAAGTAACATTAAATTGTTTTCTTACTCTTCTCTTTGGCAAATGCTTCTACATCTTTGATAGGTTTCTTTATAAAGAAATCATGATCATTTGAACTTTCCCCAAAGTTGGTTGTAGAGTTTGTATGGAATTGGCAGCAATTTTCTTTTACTCCATTGGTAATGTGCAAAATATTTCTATACAGGTAGAAGAAGGATGGTGGAGTGGAATACTGAATGGCAAGGCAGGGATGTTTCCTTCCAACTTTGTGAAAGAACTGGAATCAACGGATGATGGAGAAACACAGGATGCTCTGGATGACACAGGTAGTGTTCTGTTTGTTGCAAACTCTTAGCAAAGTAATTTTTGATTTCTGGTATAATTGAAATATTACAGTTAAAAACAACGAAGTTGTTTCCGTTTCTTTCTAGAAAGTGTTGATGCTGAGTATGAAAATACTTGTCTGCTCCCATTTCACTCATAATAAAATTGCAAGGTCTTAATCTTGCAAACGTGTGTTCTACACTTTATCACAAGAAATTTTATCATATTCAAAGATGATATTTTTTAGAATTGGGTATACAATTATTCTTTTGTTTGGTAGCTTTTTTCAGTCTTACTCTCATAGACATGAACTCCCTAAAACAGAAAATTTAAGTATACAATCAAGTCATTTGAGAATCAAAACAATGTGGAGAGCCTCAACTTAAAATGAGTCCAGGGAAGGAGACCCTTATGGTTCTGATGCCTCTATGCCTAGATTATATTTTGATCTAACAATAAGATTTTTTTAAGGCAGAATTGACATTTGACCTTTTTATTTACAGAATTTACGTTTGTCCTTTTCTGGCTATGACTATGTAGCTGGGGCAGAAGCAGATGCTCTGTGGCTGAACGGTAGCTGAGTGGTACCAGGCAGGTCTGTGCTTTATAGGCAATTACTCTGTTCCCTCGAAAATGCACTTCAGAAACATTTCAGTCTCTGAAGATCCGTTTGAAGGGGACTTGTAATATGGTATTGCTGAAACAGGAATGTTTTTTTGGAACATCATAGCAGGAGTTAATTGATTTTTAAAAGACGGCAGTGTAATGTTCAAGGAAAACAGGGGAGGTTTTTTTTGTTTGGGTTTTTTTTGGGTTTTTTTGTTTTTTTTTTTTACCTTGTGGTAATGTGCACCCTCATTTACATGATGTCTGGTACTGATTGCTTCAAACAAGGGCTTGCTCAGACACAGGAAAGAGCCTGGCTTGGAATTTTTTTCTGGAAATCTTGGAAATCGCAGTAGCATAAAACAAGAGTTTGACTTGAGCAGTCCCAAATAGTTCAGTGGCTGTTTCCTTAGAGGTTGGGTTCCCTGAGTTTAGTGGGGTCTGGTGCAGTGAATTTACAAATGGGTATGTGTTGGCCTTAATTAGTGAATACTGAGATCAATGACACTGCACAGTAATTTGAAGTAATTGTATTTTCTGTCAGTACCTAACAAGTTGATGTGTTCAGCCCCTCATCCCCCAGGGGTTATATTTAATACTCAGTACTTTCACAGTCAGGGTCTGGAGTATCTTTTGTGTTCCCTCCTCACCCTTGGGAAACAGTAACTTCCTCTTTCATCACTGTGGTCATTCAAAGGCACAGCCTGGACTTTGCCCACCAATGGGATGTATAGCTATGCTTTTGAGATACCTGAGGGGATATAACTAAATAAAGAGCATCTGGGTAGACAAAAGGTGAGCAGCTGAAGTCAAGAGCAACTTAGCTTCATGGTACCATCAAAATATCTTAGACTTTTGACAGAAGGAAGTGGCTTTAATCTTTATTGCAGTTCATAGGCCTGCATGGGCTGAAAAAAACTTGACCCAAGGGCTAAAAGATGCCATTTTGACTTTGGTTTGTAAAAGCTGTTTTCACATGAATCCTGGAATTCTGCATGCAAGAATTGCTTGCCTATGTATACTGATCTGTGGGCTTTAACAGATCTAACCATAATTTAAAAACTTAAAGAACTTAAAAAAAAAAATAGTTGCAAAGCTCTTAACAACAAAATTGTTATTCTTTGAAATACATTTCTGGGGGTGGATAAGTGCTGTTCCTCAAAACTGAAAGATTAAAAGAATTTTAAATAGCTGAATTATCCAGCAATGTTTAATTTCCAACGACTATATCTGGTTTGAATGCTTGGAGTGCTTTGAGCAATAGGAAGATGTCACTTTGGTTGCTTGAGGGGCATCACTCTGCCACTGAAATACACTGTTTTCCTGTGGCAGTTGAAACATGTTTGGATTCATTATGGACTTTTATTGATTATCACTTTCTGTGGCTGTTGCTGTTCAAATGAGAAGCTTTTAAACGTTGGTCTAAAATACCATTTTCAGAGAGTGCGTAAGCAGTGTTTCATAAAACTAATGGAAAACACTGACGTTAACAGGCTGTGGAGCCTGAGTGCTAATTGAAATAGTACGAATATTAGTGAGCTGTTGACTCAGTTGCCAGAATAATCAGGGAAAAACTGGTGTAATTTAAGTTGGTCTTACATTAAATATAAAATGAGAACAAATGTGAGGTGTTACAGCTACAGTGGTGCTCCTAGAAAAGCTATTTATCAGGAGCAGTGCACAAAGCTGTGCTGCTCCCACTTTTTTTTTTCCCAGAAGAGCAAATAAATAATTTCAGCTTTTAAAATAGCTTTCTCTTTCTTATTTTATTTTCAGAGCCCGTTTTCAATAGTCCTACCTCACCTGTGACCTCTCCAGGAAATGGGAGTGAACCTGCACTGGGACCAGCACAGCCAAAGAAAATCCGAGGTGTTGGGTTTGGAGATATCTTTAAGGAAGGCTCAGTGAAACTTAAAACAAGATTATCCAGTAATGAATCAGAAGATAAAAAGCAAGATAAGGTTTGTAGTGGTATATATTGTTCTTTTGGGGTTTCCTTTAAAAATAATTTAGGAGATGTGGAATCTGACCGTTATTCTCTCTTAGGACTCCTGCCTATAAAACAAAACAAATCCCCTCAAATGTGTTTCACAGTAAGTTGTATTTAACACCGATTCCAAAAGGTGTATTCAAATGTCTTGGTATTTAAACCATTAGAGGCTGAGAACCAAGCTTATACGTAAATTGTCATTTCAGAGTCACATGGTAAAAGACAAAATAACATCTTGAACACATCTGCAGTGTGAGGTCAGACTTTATATAAAGTCTGGGAGAAGATTAAATCTACTTATTCAAGTTAAACTTGTCTTTTAAAACAAGGAATATTTTGGCATTTCTTTGCGTTTTGGCTTATTTGGGTTTTTTCCCTAAAGTTTTGGCAGATGTTGAGATTGCTGTTCTAGGTGTCAACTGTCATTACCTTCAGTGAGTGCTGCCAAGCTTCTGGCTTCATAAATTACTGTTGTGTAAGCCTGTAAGCCTGAAAAATGCAGTTCTAGGATTTTGCATTTTCTTTCCCCCATTTTTTTTATGAGTGAGAGTGAAAAGGAGCACTTTTATTCTTTGTTGTTTGGATTTTATTTTGATCTCAACTCAAGAGCGCTCTTACCTGTTGGAAGCACAGCAGTGATGCTCAGTCCTTTTGCTTGAACTTATTATTCCAAGAGCTTATATATGGATTTTCAGGTGTTAATAAATTAAAGGTAGCTGAGATAGTCCAGAATTTCAGTTTTGACTCAGGTGATCAAGAAAACTTTTAAGCCTTTGTCCATTTCAATTTTTGTTTGTGGGTTATGGTCATTAATGATGTTTTGGTGAGTGTTTTGTTTTCCTCTGCCATGGTAATTAATAATTGTAATGGTGTAGGGCAAAAAGTGAGGTGAGTCCCTGGGAGGAGGGAGGGTCAGAGGCTTCCTTGAGCATGTTTTCCCTCAATAGCAATGCTCAGAGTAATGGCATGGTGTGTGTAGTGTTTGTTTCTGGTCTGGCACCAGATGATTTGGAGAAGTTGCAAGTGTGTTGCCTTCTGTGTGTTGCTGGGAGAATGTTGCCTTCTAAAGAAGGTGTTTAGAAAAGGAGATCAGTGGCAGACCTTACTGCAACCTTTCAATATATAGATTGAGAGAAACTTCTTACTGTGGTCTGTAATGACACGACAAGGGGCAATGGCTTAAACTGAAAGGGGGGGGATGAGGAAGAAAAGAGGGGAGATGAGGAAGATGTTCTTCATAGTGAGGGAGGTGGGGTGCTGGAACAGGTTGTCCACACAGGTTATGGTTACCGCATCTTTGGAATTGTTCAAGGCCAGACTGGATGGGGCTTTGAGCAGCCTGGTGCTATGGGAGGTGTCCGTGCTCATGGCAGGGAGTTGGACTTGGATGGTCATGGATGGTCCCTTCCAGCTCAAACCTTTCTATGAGTCTGTGAAGTGACATGGATTCTCCTCATTCCTCTCCTTTGTCCCTTGATGTGGCAGTCTGTGATCACTGCATCTTCATGTGAATGCTGTTAGAGTAGGTTTTCAGCACCTAGCTTCCAGCTTGCTTTCTTGTCATGAGATTGATCATTCAAAAAAGTGCTTCCCTAGTGTCTACCTTGTCACTTGGGAATATAAAGAACCTATCCAAAATTGTGCTATTGATATGACGTCTGCTCAGACCTTTTGAATTGTTCTAATTGACTGTGTATAAGCAATAAAATATGCTGGTGCTGTGCAATTTTGGTTGGCCTGTCTGGAAAGGTCTTGTAGGTCTTTTCTCATCAAGAGAAGAAGTGAAGTGAGAAAACAGTTTTGCATAGCTTAATGTCAGAAAAATAAACAATTTAGTTTAGCACTTAATATTCCACTTACACTTCTTGCCAAAGTCATCCCAAGATGGACAGACTTAAAGAACAGCATGGAGAGCCCAAGGGAAATAATTCTCATGAAGCTCTTGTGAAAATATATGGCTTCCTTGGATTTGTGCTTAACTTGCTTTGGAGTTAGCTGATTAAATGCTTGGAGAGCACTGTCAGTCTTTTAAGACAGTAAGGAAAAAAAAAAGCAAGCTGTGTAGAGGAGAGAGGGCTCTCTTCCTTTGGAAGATTCAGACTGTTCTGAATTCAGCACAAGAAGGCTGAACACTGATGGATCTGAAGGGCCCAAGAGTGTATATGCTGCTGCAGGAGATCTTTCCAGCTCTCTCAGCATCCTGCCTGAGCTGAGGCTATTTATACCCTGTCTGCCTAAACTTCCTCTCTTACTTCTAATTGCATCTCATATTGGAAGGGGGAAATGCAGAGAACTATTTCCATGTTGGAGGTGTTTAATCTCAGAGGAGAGTTATTTTAGTGCTTCCTTCATATACCATTCTGGAGAGAGCTAAATTGCATAGGTACTGCAGGAACATCTCAAGTGACCTTGGCTTCTTCTATGGTATGTCAGAGGCATCAAGCACCAGCCTACAGGCATTGTCTGATTCTGAGGAGAGTAATTCCAGATTCTCTGACAGTAGAAGATGTGCAGAGTTGAACTGTAGATGAAAATGAGCCGAGTAACTAAAGGCAGTGGGATTTTTCACATCAATTGTGCTGTTAGGGCTGCTCAGGTAAGTACTGACTGTAAGATCATATTCCGTATATGTAGCTCTTTGGATGTGAAGAAGTTGATGCAGCTGAAGCTGTCGGAATCTGCCGGGCAGATCAGAAAGTTTGAGGTGAAAAATGAAATATTCTGTAATTTATTTTGGTTAGGTGTTAACTCTGAAACTTGTGGCAATGCCTCTGTTTTTTCATTTAGGAGAAGTCTCTAGTGACACTTAACCTGTTTTGTACAAATTGGTGAGAGTGAAGGGAAGCTGGGATAGGTTTTCATTTTCTCTTTCATTTGTCTGAGTAGTTAAAAACTGCTTGTCTGAGGTGGTGTATGGCTGCTGAATATCCCTGCCTTATTCCAGTGCAAAGTAAGCATTGCCAGCGAGTTACTCTGAGCAGAGCTGTTAAATAACTGCTTCTATTATGTGCTGTAGGAGGCAATATTCAGGCTAATGGGAGAGTAACACCTGGAACTGCTAAATACAATTGCTAAAGTATATTTGGCCATATCCTGAGATCAGCTTCCAGTTTGAAAGATGTGCTCTGTCTTTAATCAGTAGACAAACTCTAATTGCAGTGTCTGTAATGAAGTAAATACAGTAAGCTAAGTGCTTAGTGGGAAAGCTCATTAAATCTCTTGGAGATGATAATTTTCATCATCTCAGCTAATGAAAAATTGTGTTCTGTAGCCTAATCAAAAACACAACTCTGAAGAATTTTTGTTAACAAACTCCTTTTCTTTTCATACAGCCATTACCTAACCATCCCCCTGGAACAAAGTTAATTCATTTTCCTAGTATAACAAAAACTGAATGCTCACCTGAAGTAATAAAACCAGAAGCTGAAAGTAAACCAAAAGGTAAGGTTGATGGATATTTACATCTATTACTTGGCAGTCCTTTCCTATGAACTATTTTATTATCAATTTGTTTTTTGTGTTAAAATCTAAAATGTCTGTGTGTACTGGAGTTTTATGTAATGTTCTGTACCTTTGAGGAGTTGTGCAAGTGCAAAAAAATATAAAGAAATTATTGCTTATATTTCTGTAGAAAAAGAATTAAAAAATTTTGTAGGGTTGGCTCCCAGAACAAAATAAGGCTGGGGTTTTTTTTTTGTTGCAAGAGTCTTTTTTGCATTAATTTTCTGTTGATGGGTTGAAAGGGATTTACTTTCTGCCTAGTTTGATTCTGATGGGATGCTGGAGATGTATTCCCATGGAACAGTGTCCCAGCACAATTTCTGTCCCCAAGTTTCACATGTTCCTTTGTAGGCTCAGGATTTTCTGTGGAGGTGGCAGTGTGCATCAGAAAGTTGCTGTTTATGTTTCGTTGTGTTGTCTGTTCCCTTGACAATCCAGTTTCATTGTGTTTCTGTTTATACTTTTTTTTTCTTTTTTATTATTTCTTATGAATTGGACTTAATTTAGCTGCCAAATTGCAGTTTTATCAAGAGAGATATTTTTAAGCCAACCCAAAACATCTTGTGGGAGTGCCAACCCCATATGAAAAGCTGAGTTTATGTGATGTGTGGACTGCTCATTTCCCAGGTTCCAGAGCAGGCTTTTTATCAACTTCCGTATTGTAATTTTAAGTATATTTTTGTTTTATGTGGAAATACCTTATTTTGGTGTGTTGTTTTTTTATGGAATACATAATTTGCAGAAATAAGAGAACTGAGACATCTTGTTTTTACACCATTCCAGTGCTATTGCTCTAAGAACCAGCAAGACAATGTGCAGCCCTGACTGTTGTGAAATTTGACTTGTCTAAAACTTTGCATAAAAATTAACTGCCTAGAAAAAATCCCAACATTCAATGCTGGCACCCAAAATGTTCACTATTTAGTTCCTTTTATAGTTCAGGTGCATCTCATGATAAAGGTGTGGAACTTGGACTAATCTTCTAGGCTTTCTGAGTCTCTTTCCCAGAAGAACAAATATATCAGAGAGGAACTTAAATATGAGAGTAATGGAAGCTGTAGGGGAATATCAATAGGTGATACCTATAGGCACCAGATAAGAAAATCTTAAGCCTTAGGAAGAAAGCTTGTTTTTCCTCCTTAGTGTTTTATTTAAATAGAAACTACACTATGGTCTATATGTCTCACCCTCAGTTTTTAAAGACCAGGTTTTAAAATAAACTGTGTTCATCTGTTAGCAGATAAACACAGATCTCTGAAATGCTTTGGCTGGGGTGGCTTATTTTGCAGTGAGGTTCTTCTTTTGGAAGCTTGTTTTGGCCTCTGGTACAAGTATGTAAAAATACTTTCTTTAAAAAGTGAAATAATCACAATTTGGCCTCTCTTTCCCCCAATTATGTTAGGATACATTATCTATGATTCCTGCTACTCTATTGCTAGCCTTGAGACTTTGGGAAAGACTAAGTTATTTTTAAAACATTTACTGAAATTTAAATGCTGCAAAGTTTAACTGGAGTCTTTCTTAAACTTACTGGCAGAATACCAGGATCACAAAATAAGATACTAAAGGGGAAATTGTACAAACTCCTCTCATATGTTCGGGTTTCTTGGTGGTGCTGATGCTGGGGATCACAGCCTGGCACATGGGGACCTGGGCTCCCTGTCTCCACACTTCTGGGAGCTGGAGCAGCGTGAAGTATCCCCTTTCTGGCACTGCTTTTTGTCTGCTCTGGTCTATGTGAGGAGGGGAGGTAAAGGCCAACTCCCCAGGCAGTAAGGAAATACATCTGTTTCCACAGAATCAGGATGTAGTGAAATGTATTACAGTCACTCACTGATAAAATCCTCAAATTTTGTAGTGTACCTGTTGAATTTTTTTTTAGAGTCATGAATTTTAGGCTTTGGACCTCAATTTAAGCATTCATCTCTTTGACGTGGTTCTTGGGTTTCTGTAATTATTCATGAACCCCAATGTATCAGGCTGTGGCTGAACATTTTTGATTACTAGATAAGACATTGAAAAAATGCAAGTTCTTGTATCTAAGATTGCTCATGTGGTTACAAGTCTATGTACATACATACCTATATCTCTCTATATTATCTCTTTAAGCTTGTCATACTTTGGCATTTAATATAGTGGTTATCACTAGTTTTTATTTGTGAATACAATTTGTGCATTTTTAAACTAAAGATGTCTGTTGATTAAACAAAATACAGCAACAGCAAAAAGGTTTGACTGTAACTGATTTATTCTCTTACTGCCTGGCAAAAGCTGTCATTAAAAATCACAGATGATTCTGTGGTTCTGTCACTTGTTCTGCTGCTCTAACGGGAGGCTGAAGCAGCTGCTCATTGTGGTGGCAGTGCCAAACACCTGATAGGTTATGGCAGCACCTAAAGAGTCCTTTTTGTGCTTCCTCTTTCTTAGTGTGTCACATACAGAAATCCAACCTTTTTATCTGCTAAATTATTTTAAATGTGCTGGGGTTAAAAAGTCTATGTTTATGTAATTTGGCCTTTCTCATGGTTTATTGTACTAGTGTGAGAAAGGAAAAAAAATGCTCTTGCTTTTTCATTTCTTACCACAATTTAAAATGGATTAGTATTGAACTCTACTAAAGGAAAGAAAAGAATTATTCTTTCTGCTTTTGCAGAAGGGGCTGTGGCCGAGTTGATGGCTCAGATGAACTCTGATTTCGGGTGTTTAGCCAAGCAATGCTTTTGCTAAAGTTACTTTGTTTCACTGCACAATTTCTGAAGTCTGCTGCTTGAAATTTCTGTAGCTGTACACATTAATAGAAGATGTCATTTGAAAACAACTGCCTGTATTTAATTAGGATTGCAAATTTGAAATTTAGATGAAATTAGAGAAAATACATATAAACTCCAATAAGCTTGAAACCATTTTTCTACAAAGTTGCTAAAAATTGAATAAATAAATCCTGTGAGGGAGTGGGGGTTAGATGGGCTGTTACAGTTTCAACTGTTATACTTCTAAGGCCTCTTTTCTCCCTCTGAAATCAGAGGGCTTGAATTATGTTGCTGTTGGGAAAAAAAATCTTTTGGGGCTTATACTTCTAACTTCTCAAATATTTATTTCCTTTTCTCAATAAATATATAATCTTATTTTTCCTGTGATTTGAACACTCATAAAGCAGTCTCAGGTCTAGAAGGAAAGTGTGATTATAGTGTGAATTTCTCAGCTCTCAGACAGCATAAGTGAGCTGTTACAATGAATGTTACTACTCATGATATCCAAATTAATTGTGCTTCTCTGTTCCAGCCAAGGAATATTGCAGGACAATATTTTCCTATGATGGCTCAAATGATGAACTCAGCTTTAAAGAAGGCGAGATCATTCAAATAATCAGTAAGGTAAGAAAGTTTGGTCTGCTCTGACCATGTGTATGGCTTTGGTGAATTTTGTACAGGGGACCATGTATGAATTGAGAACCAGGAAGGTCTGTTGGAGCAGATATTCCTGTAGACCGATTTCTCTCATGTGAGAGTCAACTCTTTGCTTCTGCGCTTGATGGAGGTACAGATGACTTCAGAGGTTCTTCCAGAGCAGGAGCTTATCTTGGGGTCCTCAAAGGCCAGTGAGATCAGTGTACACTCAGTACCAAATGCCTTTTCAGTGGGGAAATGGGAAAAGCTTTGCTAACAGCCCCTTTACCTTCAGAAACTGTTCTTTTTCCCTGGTGATTCAGAATAATCAGACAGAAATTAGTGATACTTTCTCTAAAAGAAACATCATTATTTAGTTGAATGTTCTCATTTGTGTTGAATTCTGTTGAATATCTTTTTGATCATTTTGTTGCAGAGATGCTTCTAAACAGGAAATAAATTTACCTGTAATTAATTTCCCTGCAGCATTCTGAAGTCTTTTGTTAATTTATTTGCTTGCTATGTTAAGGAATAACGACTTTCCTAAGAAAGTGGAAAGTTTCATGTTCAGTTTTTGCTCAGTTGCAGAAGAAAACACATTTTTCATTATCAAGATTTTAATTTTGTGGAATTAAATAACTGATGTTATGAGCATCACTGATCATAAGTACAGTAGAAAAGAGTAGTTACGGAAGGCCCTTTGGTAAATACAGCAACCCTTGCCTCATCTACACTCAATCTCTTTCCTCTCTGTTTTTTTAAACCAATTTACCCCAAGCACACACGGGTCCAAATTGGAGCGAAAAAAGAGTTGTCCAGACTGAGTGTCATTTCTGCCCATGGCAGGAGGTTTGAACTGGATGATCTTCCAGGTCCCTTCCAACTCACCCAATTGTAGGTTTGTGTGATTTTTTTGGATCTGAGACACAGAGAAAAGCTGTTATTTATGCTGGTAAAGTATAACATCAGACTTTCTGTTACGGACAAAAGCCTTGACCCAGTAAAATCCTGTAATGGATTTCTCTTCCACTGGGTTAATTATCCAATAGTTTATTTTCTTTTGTCATAGTATGTTTATTTTTTCTCTCAGTGGGGTATGTTCTTTTGCTTCTTTACCCTTTTTAGACCAGTGGAGCTGATCCATCACATCAGAATCACTTTTATTTGGTAGAATTGTGCGTCATGCCAATAACATTTGAATTATTTACTGAATAACTTGCTGGTCAAGGAAGCTGAGAAGATCAAATGTTGTATGTTAGGTCATAACTGGCGTTATGTACTTTCCTTCTCTTTGCAGATCTTATCCTTGTACCCTTATCTTATATGATGTAATATAATTTCATCTTGAGTTTTAGAAAACGAACAAAAACTGACCAAACCTGATCTGGTCTGTAGCTGTTTCCCCTTGTTAAGCTGGCCAATTTCAGACAAACCATTACTTTGCGTTGTGTGTAAAAGGGAAAAAGTTGTTGTGTAATTGTATCTGTTCTGGGGAAGAAGTAAATATTGGTTGAAATGACCTGTTTATTTTAGGATACTGGAGAGCCAGGCTGGTGGAGAGGAGAGCTCAATGGTAAAGAAGGAGTCTTCCCAGATAACTTTGCTGTTCAAATACAAGAGTCTGATAAAGACTTCCCTGTAAGTTCTTACACCTATTGTTTAGTATCACAAAAACACTATTGATGAAAATGCACAGAATAAAAGAGGTCACAGCACATTATGCTGCTTAAAACATTACAATTGTGGTTTTATCTTGACCTAATTGTATAAAAAGAGATGAAAAGGTTAATCTTTGTGTTTAACTTGTCCATAAATATTAAAATGAGGCGTATTTTTTGAGATAAACTCGAATTAATGAGGATGATCAGGTCATTTAGAAAAGGGTGTAGTTCTGATAGCATGGTGTTACATGTTACTGATTACTGATTAAACCCTTACTGTTTAGAAAGGAGATAAGCTGTTGGTTTTTTCCATCTCAAGTCCTTAAGTAACTGTAATTACAAAATGCTGAGTGACCCCTGTGGGTCTGACTGGGATTTTTCTGTGTGAAGTAGGCTGCAGCATATGAAGGATATTTTTTGGGTGGGATTTAGAAATATTTTTTCACCATCATGTGTAGTAACTTGTAGAAATTCATGTTTTTATGTGTTATTCAATGATCTTATAATTTTGGTCCTTGTTTTACATTTTTTTGTTGTTGTTGTTGAGATTATTACACTGTTTTGGTTCTGTCACATTTGTGTAGCAAAGATGGTTGTGTTAATTCCCAAATGTACATCAGCCCCAGGTGGAATGGTTTCAGCTCCAGGTCAGGAGTTATTAATTTATGGTTTATCCTGAGTTGCCTCACATATACAGGAACCTACCTACACCCAGTCAGAATTTTCTTTTCAGATGGAGTCTCAGCTGTGCAAGGGCAGCATAAATGCCATAGAATACAAGAAGAGAGGGTAGGTAGGGTTGCTGTTTCACAGTACAGAGTTGTTTCCTACATAGAGGGGGTAAAAGCCATTTTTTTACCCTATGCAGCATTTCCCTGCTTTGATCCTTTATTCTGCTTTGTGTGCAGTGTCTCAGGACAGGGATTCATCTTGCACTGAGCAGCTTTGAGGTTCAAGGCATTGGATGGCTGGTGATCATAATCAGCTATTTGATATTGACTTCATGAAAACACAGAGCAGAACTGTATAATGGCAAGTTGATGTTGAACTCTGTTTAATTGTTTTTGGTGTAGGCAGCAATGCTGCACATCTGGATAATGTAGTTACGTTTTTGGGGAAGAAGGAAAATAGTGTCTTGTTATTTAGGTTCACTTGTTTTTGTGTCCTCTGAAACCAGAGAAAGATATTGAATATGGGTTCTCCTGCTTGCTTGATTACATTTCACATGCTAGAATAAAATCTAGCTGTGTTAAAAAGTGCTTATTCAGTAACTGTAGGGGCACAGAATTGAGATCCATCCATAGCAACTGTTTTAAATATACCCACTGCGAGGCTTTTTTGGAGGGGTTGTGTTAGACTGAGCCTGTATGGTTTCAGCAGTGCCTCTATGATGAACAAGTGGTTTTGTTGGCTTTTGTATCATTTTATCAGGGAATCTGTTCCTTAGTACAGCCAGAAAGAGCCCTCTTCTAAAGCAATTTAATGAGTCACATTCTCAGGATGAGTGGTTGAGATCTCTCCTGAGAGATGCCAGTCTCCTTTCAGCAGGAGAGAGATGCAACTTCAAGTGTATCAGAAAGTGGTGAATGACTGACTGTTTCAAAATAGTAATTTCAATGTACAGACTGTCACATTGTGATACTTTGTACATTTTTGATGGCTGGTGTAGTTTGTCCATCTTTCCCACTTAACTATAATGATAAGGGAGCTCAAATCAATATTCTTCTTGTAACTGTGTTATTTGAGACAAATGCTACCAGCATCTGTTTGTTTTTTCATACACTTGTATTTTAAAAGTCAATTAATTTAAGCCATTCCTCTGATACTTAATTTAGAAATCTATTTTTAGTGGAAGTGAATGCTTTTGTTTCAGAAAATTACCTGGTTGCCCTTCTAAACTGGCATTGTACTAAGATTGAGGTTTACATATTGAAATTAAAATGAGTGTGATCAGAGCAATTCTTTGGACTAAAAAAGATGGAATTATTGGATTTTAGGGGTTTTTTTCTCCCCTCTGTTTATGCACATTGCTGAAGCACTGATTTAATTTGAAAAGATCTGAATTTTGTTCCTGATTTTTTGTAACTGGTTGTCTGGGAGATATCAGAGGAATTGTTCCAGGTCTTTGTGTTTCCTGTCTGAATTGATTGCCTCCTTTGTGAAATACTTTGAAATCAGCTAATAAACAAGCTCCACATTACAGTATGCAAAACAAAACACAAATAAGGCTGTCTTGGATACAGAGAATATCTGTTTGCTTGCTTGTTTGACTTTGTTTTTTTCCCCCTTCATTTTGCAGAAGCCAAAGAAACCTCCACCTCCAGTTAAAAGTCCAGGTAGGTAGTATACATGTTTTGTGGTCTGAGAAAATACTGAATTTCAGAAGCAGTGCATGACTTCAAAAGAAAATTTACAAGTAGCTTTTGACTTCCTAGTAATGCAGCCATAGTCACACTTTGAGCTTACTTCTCATACTTTATATATTTTGCTGCTGCTGTGTATTTTTAAAATTATGATGGATCCTATTTTGGAAACATTTTAACAACGGCTCACCATTTTCTGGGCTCAGGTGAGGTTTTATAAATGGTATTACACTCCTTGCAAAAGAGAAGACACAATTTGGCGTGAGTCTTATTTTTAGTTAGTGACAAGATAATTAAAGCTCTTTGAGAAATGTCTGTGGTTTGCTTTTGCATTCAGCTGCAAGACCTGAATTGCCAACTGGAGAGAAGAAATTCCTTTCTTTGAGGCCTGAAGAAAAAGGTAAGGACAGTTTTCTTCATGGTGACTTGGCTGCTCTGGGAATAGGCTTTCTGTTCAGCAGCCATCATACAAACTCCCTTGATAGCAGCTACTGAAGCTGTCATGTCTGTGATGTTACAGAAATATTTTTGGAGTGGTTAGAGGAGCTGCTAAACTCTATTGAGATGTTTATTTCTTATTGCATTACATTCTGAAGACTGGCTGTTGCACTGCACAGTAACATAGTTACTGTTAAATTCATGAAGGGGTAGTTCTGTGACAGTGGCTGCAGTTTTAAGCAGCACTAGTAAGTTATTACAAAGGGAAGGGTTCACTCCTGCAAAAGTCTGTTCAGAAGTATTTTGAAAGAGCTGCACAGAACAGGTACAAGGCACCTTAGATAGATGTTATGGTCACAATACTCAGAAACAGAGATTTCTTGTCCTGTTAATTCTTGCTATATTCCATATTTTCAAGTTTCACTGAATTTGGAAACATTTACTGCTTTATTCTTAAAATTTAAAGGACACTTTTTTTCAGAGGCAAAGCTACTGTAGTCACCCAAACAGATTCTAAAAGGCTTCTTTCCGTGTTAGAAAGACTTGCCAAGTGAAAATGTTTGATTGTGTTTACAAGTGAGCAGCTTAAACAAATGTGTTGGTTGGGCCTTGCAGAAGAAATCCTGATGTTCCTGCAGCTTAACTAAATAACAAAACCACTCTGTGCAGTGAATGGTGAACTGTGGCTGACCAGCATTTCTACCAGTGAGGCTGCTGATGGGTTTCTTGGCTTCCCTGCACAGTTTTTATTACCCCCATTTTAATAAGGCACCTTCTCAGGTATTGAATATGAAAAACACTGTTTAAAGTCCTGTTTGTTCTGTATGTGAGCAAGCAAGTAATTTTTATCTGTTGGAGCAGTATCTTCAGGTGTGAATTGACATAAACTGTATGATTCCAGAAAAAGGAAGTTTAATTTTAAACTGGTTCTCTTTAACCAGTTTAACTTTAAGATTAACACTGGACTACAGTGTTAATCTTGGCATAGTAGAACTCAACTGTTCATGGAGGAATATAGGAAAGAATATTGAGTAACACCATCCAAAAAACAGGAATTTGAAATCTACAAAATTACGTAAAGTAAAATACTAAATATTCCTTACAGAGCTACAGGAAATGAAGGAGGAAAAATTTTTCATTTATTCAGTTGCAGATCAGGTCATAAAAATTAATTTTTTAGGTAGCACTAGTGTTTTACTCCAAGATATGCCCATTTATCAGTGCAGTTGTACTTGTGGAAAACAGCTCTGTTATTACTACTAATTAAACCCATTAAAAATGAATTTTTTCTGTAACTAGTTCTCAGAAAAAAATATTGAGCAGCTCTAATCAGAAGCTGTCAAACCATGTCATTTTTTATGCCTATTGGGAGACTAATAGATCTGCCTTTAATTGCAGTCAAAAATTGATCAAAAATGAAAAGTAGAGTTTCTGTGAGTATTTATCTGTATTTATATTGAAGGACACTTAGTGTTGTCATGTAGAATTTTTTTTCCACTGTAAATGTCTTCAGATTTGTATATTTCCATTACTAAACTGTTCATTTTTAACCAACACTTTCATTGAGGAGCAGAATCCAAAAAAGGCATGTCATTTTTTCCAGCAGAAATGCCCAGTTTCTGTGCTCATGGTGAACCTTAGCCTTTGGTATTAACTTACTCCATTTAGCTATAGAATTTTTTATGTTCAGATTGTGAGTGTGAGTATTAGAAGGGAGAACTGACAGATGAGAGTTCAGGAACAGGGTTCACTGACAGCATTTTTTTCTGCCCTGTTTATGAACTCACTTATTTTTAAAAGCCAAAGAGGTAATTCTCAACTTGTTCTCAGCATAGCTTCAATAAAGCCAATTGATCTGCAGTTAGTACTGGCTGGTGTTGGGTGTTAAAAACTGGAAATGTGTTTTAGGTGGGGAGGCAGGAGTGCTGGTGCTGCTGATGTGCTGCTTTACAGAGGGCAGGCAGCCCCACCGTGTGGCAAAGCCTTCCGCTGCTTCAGCATCCTGCATTCCTGGCTCCATGCTGAGAGACGCTAGAAGGAGATGCCAGCCAGTTTGGTTTCTTGCCCATATCTCCTCCTGATGTTCAGGTGTCCCAAAGCAGGAAAACACTTCTGCCCCTGAGCAATGTTTTTGACTGAAATATCTCCAGGATCTGTTTGCTTCCCAATATTCCTCTGAAAGAACATCGGCTTCTTCTCATTTTAGGGTTGGAGGGGTGCTCAGTGGCTGCAGGACTTGTTCAAAGGAAATCAGTCCTAGACCGGGCAGTTCAGGCACTTTTCTGGCATGGAGCTGAAGCAAACACCCAGCCCTACTCCCAAATCTATAGCATATGTAAACATTTTACAGATCAATACTTGGTTAAAAGCAAAAAAAGGAGGGGAGGATGGGGAGAATCAAAGCTGAAGGTCAGTCTCTCCATCCCAGTTTACTGATTTACTGCCCTATAAGGGCAGTAACTCTAAAGAACTGTAACCCCTTGCTGTAACATAACAATTATGTTTGTGTATACTGAACTATGGCAGTTTTACAGGGAAAAGTAGAAGCTTTGCTCTGGCTATCCAATAGGGTAGAGTTAGGACACATGGGTTGAAACCTATTCAACTATTATTTGTGAAGCAGCTTCAATTTTTCAGTGTCCCATATGTTGTATGTCAGCTCCTCTGGACAGGATTCAGTTAAGTCATGCAGTCACTGAACAAATAAATACAACTTTTTTTTTTCTTTTTTTTTCTTCTTTTTTTTTTATCCATATCTATTTTTGATCTCTTCATAGGAAGGTAGACTTTAGATAAAATAAATTCAGCTATTCAGATAAAAACTCATTTTTCTCCCTCCCCCTTCTTACATAGATAAATTACACTGCTTGTGTGTGTAATAGGTCTAGTTACAATAAATAAAAGAATCTTCCTCTTTAAAAGAAAATCAAATGCATTTGTAGAAAAGACAAATCAGTACAAAGATTTTTGGTTCTTAGCTGTCTGTTGCAGTGCAGTAATGTGAGTCCATACTTTATTACTACTGTTTTCATGTCTGTAGGGAGGTTTCTCTTACACTGAGATAGATCTTTATGAGCTCAGGTAAGCAGTTTGTGTGTTTTGATAAGGTGTCATTTAAGACACTTGACTGTGTATTTTTCATTTTGATCTTCAAAGAAGGCATTTCTGACAGCAGGTGCGTTCTAATTGATTAGCAGTGTAGGAATTCTAGGCAATGTGGCGTTTTTAAAGTGTGACTTCTTTTGTCAGATGAAAAAGGAGCTTTGGATCAGAGGCCTTTGAAGCCACAAGCTCCTCAGGTACCACCCAAGAAGCCTATTCCTCCAAGCAAGACCAACAGCTTACTGAGAGCAGGGCTCCTGCACCCAAAACGTCCAGACAAACCTGGTTTGCCATCATCTGCATCCAAGTCAGTATACCTTAAACTGTAGTCACCAAGTATATTCAGTTTGATTTGTTGTTTGATCTTTCTTCATGGATGAGTTGGGAGGAAATGTGTGCTTTAAGGGTGAAAAGGATGCAAGGATAAGTTTTGCCTTACACCTCCCAGTGGCTTAGTTCTCCAGGTCTCTGTCAGTGATCTTTCAAGTCCTTTGAGATATTGAATCCATCTAAGAGTCAATATTAGAGCATAATTGACCATGGGGCAGATGAAATTGCTCATCTGGGGGCTGCTGTAGCTACAGTAAGAGGGTGGAGTGAAAGAATGTGGGCATGGGCCTTGGGAATTATTACTGTGTAGAGGAAAACCCTGAGAATTAGATCTGCCTCAGTATTCAAGGCTTGAGCCTGTCTTACCTAAAGGGTAAGATAGATGGAAAGGAAGAACTGAACACAGGTACCTGTGCTAAATGTATTCACTGTGGCTCATGTCTGCTCCTTGGGGAAGGGGGAGGAAGTACTGACTACAGAAGCACATTCAGATTGTCTGCTCTTGAGCCTTCTCACTTGAATTTCTGCATAAATAGGGACAAATACTTCTTCTATGTCCACTTAGATTTTTATTTTTTTTTTCCTCATGAGTTTGAAACTTTCACTAAGACTAATTTTGCATCTATACAATCTCCCACACAGAGAATTTTCCTTTCTGTCTCCATCAAAGTAGTTTAAAGGCTCCTCCTACCCTGAAGTGTAAAGCAACAGCTGACTGGTAACTGTCCCTTTGGGATGTTCAGTTGGCTTGAAAGAGCCATGAAAAAGTGAGGTTGTGATACACTTAACTTTGTGGAAATGAAGCAGAAGAGCTTGCACCTTAAATACCTTTCCAGTATAGAATTGTGTTATGTTCACTTGGTATTTTGGAGACTTTCCCAATAAAGATTATTTTTTTAAAACAACAAGTCATATTATTTTCCAGATTAGAAAATAATTATTATTCTAAAGGGATGCACATGTGCAGTTAAATAGAGGTCTGTAGTAAGCTGTGGACCTTTAATTACTGAAACCTTTAAATCCTAGAGATATTTAAATGTCTGAAAGTTTTTAACATTTTTTTAGGAAGATCAGACTGCTATCTCTTTTTCTGCTGCAGTAAAACTTAAAGGCTTTGGGAACTGAATTAATGAAAGGGGCACAGTTTATAGCATGTACAGGCCAACCAAATGATCAGGCCTGGTCAGCACGGGTTTGTGATGGGAAGAATTGTAAAGGAAAATGAAAATGTTGCCTGTTCTTTTTTAATTATTTTGGTGGGGGTTTTGCTACTTCAGATTTTTTTGGGATTTTTTTGTCTGTTAATGATGTAAGCAGATATGTAAGGAGTGCATGGTAGAACAAAAGCCACAAGGTAGCTTTTTCCATATCCTGCAAGAAATAACTTGTTCTTGTCGAGCCTTTTTTCCAGTACAGAAAGATTTTTTTTTTAATGTCAAGGAGTCAGTTTTTGGATTACTTCAAGAGGTATTAGTGAAAATGTTATTCAGCTCACCTGTTATTTGAAGTGTAATATTTTGGACTGAAATGTCAAAGTGTGTCTTAAAGTTCTGGATTGTTTTCACATGGGTTTTGTGCACATCTGACAACCCTGCAAGAGCTGGAACAAAAGAAACAGTTTTCACAGGTAGAATTGATCTCCAGAAGCCTTTATTTTAAAAAAGATTTTAAAACAAGGCTTTAGAAAGTGATAAAATTTACCATAATTTTTCAGTTTGCTTATAATTCTTGGTATGGTTCCCTTTTAAACTATTTAATCTCTTGACTAGGTATGTTTTATTTTTTTTTTTTACCACAGAACTAATGGAGAAGTTGTTACGCTTCGACCGAAATCTGAAGTTGAGCCAGTAGCAAAACCAAAGTTAGACTCTGAACCATTGCCACTCAGACCAAAATCAGTAGAGGTAGATTCACTTGTGATAAAAAGCTCTAAAGAATCAGGTAAGAAAAGAAATGTTCTTTTGGGCCTTTCTGACTGGATTGCTGTGTTTTACAGGGTTGGAATAAGCTTTTTGAGTGATTTACTCAAAATGCCACTGAGTGCATTTATATAAGCCTGTGTATTTTTTCAGAAGTGCTGTAGGCAGCTGAAGGCAAGAGTCAGGAGGGGATGAACACAATTTCAGCAAGGTATTTGCAGGTAGCTGCTGAGCTCTGGGTTGTGATAGTGGGCAGGAAGGGAGACAGAGATAATGGTTTGTTCTTCTAATTTGAAAGCTTTTATTTTTTTTTTTGCTGCCACTTTCATCCTGAGTTTTATGAAGTTGTTTTCTTAATGGCTGGTTCAATTTGTTCTGCTCTTGCAGTTCAGATAACTTTGCTTTTTTAGCTAACTTGAGAATTCTTAGTAATGCCATTACTTTCAATCTCTTGTGATTTAGTTCAGAGCTATTCTAGATTTTGACTTTACCATACCTTAAATTGGGGCTTTAAAAAAGCATGGAGCATTGTACATTTGAATAGAACAATTATGGCTTTGCTTAAAGCCACCTTGAGCCAAACTTGGTGTCTCCTTAATTCTAAATATATCCAGTAAAACCTTTGATAGTGGTTAAAAAACCCACATTTAATGATCAGAACCTCTGAACTACTGTATTGGTACCATTAGCCCTTGACTGACAGTGCAACTGATACCAGACCTCTGTGTGTCACTTAAGCAGAGATCAGCTGCTGTGGGCATGTTTTTCTGAACTCTAAATTATTTATATTTTATGAATAAAGACTTCAGAAAAAGCTGTAGTGAATTATGCCTACAGTGTTTGTCTTTCATATCTCAAATGCAACTTTTTGTCTCAGAAAATATTTTAGTAATAATAAATTTAAAAATTCTATATATTTATTTATTTTTAAGGCAAATTATAACATTCCAGTTGTAGAATAGTTGGTCCAAAATATAATAAATTCATCTGGAAGACCAAAATAATTATTTTTTAGAATAAATTATAATCTGCATTAATTCTTTTAATCTGCATTAAAAGAACTGAAGCAATAGAAAAGAATACTCCTGACTTTTTCTCATTGAGCGTGTTAAAATACGCTTTTTAAGTGTAAATGCTTTGTATGAGGAAAGGTTAATTCATGTGTGTCTTTAGTACAGATGCTGTACTACTCACATTAGATAGCAGAAAAAAATTCTTTAATATGAGGGTGATAAGACCCTGGCACAGGTTGCCTAGAGAAGCTGTGGCTGCCCCATCCCTGGAAGTGTCCAAGGCCAGGTTTGGCAGGACTTGGAGCAGCCTGGGATAGTGGAAGGTGAAGATCTTAAAGTTCCTTTCCAACCCAAGCCATTCTATGATTATCAGCTTTCTAGCTAGTATAATAAATTCTGTGATTATCTCTAGGGTCGTGCTTACCATATAGCATAGTATCATTTAACCTCAGGAGAAACTCCTCATGAAAACAACTGGAATATCTCTTTTTATGGTTTTTTTTTTTCCCTTTACATTGTTACCTTGACATTTTTAATAACCAGGGTGGCAACATAGTACCTTTGCTGTCAGGTGTCCATGTATATACTACAAATCAGAATATTATGTGATAGAAAAAGAATAATTTTACACAGATTGAGGGGAAAGCAAAAAAAAAAGAATATTTTTGCTAGTGTAAGATTTTACAGGCTTATGGAGAAATTAAAGATTTGAATGAGGAGGGCACAGGGGTCACAATGGGCTCATGGGTGAGGTCTGTTCAGCTCTGTTTGGTGCAAGCAAATGAAGGCTCAGGGAGTTCCTGTGGGGCTGCAGCACAGAGAAGGGTCAAGGAGCTGCAATTGAAGGAAAGTTTCAGAGCTCCTGTTTTGTCAAACTGTCATTCCTTAAAACAAGCTGCATAAGTCACTCCTATGCTCTTGTGAAAAGGGACTGATCCAAACTCCTGGCAGTAAAATGTAATGAATCTCATGCTCTTAATTCTCTACATACTGTGCTGCTAAAGACATAAGAGCCTATGCAGCCAAGGCCATATAAAACTATAAAAGAAAAAGATATTGGGTCCTTGTATAACATTTAAGACTGTTTTAACTTTATAATAACTAGACTAGGTATTAATAAAGATAAGGGAAAATGGATGGCTGGGGCTGGCAATTGCCCAGAGTCTTGTTTTTTTTGTTTTTTTAAATATGGTTCCTGCTTTTTTTCCAACTTAGTTTGATTGTGAAGTGAGGTTTAGATTGTGCCACTTTCAGTTTAGCATAAGAAACTGTAAATGTTCTGTAATGGAAAAATCCACCCCATGTCAAAATTATGTTGCCAGCCATCAGAAAAGGATAAATAACCAGAACCATTTAGAAACATTGGTGACATTGAAATAATCCTCTTGAAGTTTTATTTGAAAAACTGCATAAATGTTTCTCTGTTTGATTAGAATCAAATACTGTAAAAGACTAAAGCTGTAATACTGGCGTGCTGAACATGTAAAGCAATTCTGTTTCTTCTACAAATGTTTCTTTTTCCTGCTTTGTAAAATAATTTTTTTGTTCAGAATCTTTTTCTAGACATTCCTCTCCTTGACTTTTCTTTCCAGATTTTGTTTCCTATCCTGTTTGCCATGTTTCCCTTCTTACGTGTCAGGAAATTACCCTACCCTTCTCCATTTTGGTAAGATAACAATCTCTAAGGAAATCCAATTGCTTTATTCCATTCACATATCCTCTTCTTAACATCGTGAGCGTGGTTTTCAGTTGCAAATATTGGCACTAAAATTTTGGGGTTTCTATTAATGCACTTTTTTTTTTGTTTGTTTGAATGCCTATTTTCCTTAGCAGTTAAAGAAATTACTTTAAGTAGGCTTTTCCATCAGGAGCTGGTGGGGACTAAAAGTAAGAAAAAATTTATAGTTGAGCTATTGATAAGCCAAACTTTGTGTTTGTTTGTAGTGAAATGTGTTCAGTACCTTTAGCACGTCTGGTGTATGTAGGTTGGCTTTATCATACTGTACACACAGAGAACACAGTCATGAAGCTTTTGGACAATTAGATATTTTATAGCTTATAGCTGTCCCCTGAATTTTTGTGGGGAAATCTCAGCAAGGTGAGTAATAGGAGAAAGGAAGCCATCTTTTTACTCCACAGATTAATGTGAGTTATCTTCTAAAATACTGGATACATTTCACTTGTATCATGGATATTTAAACCCCAGCCACATGAAATGGTGGAACCATAATTTCTTCAGCCACCCTTCAGCTTTGCTTCTTTTTGTGAAGGCTTTTAAAGACAAGTTGCTATGAATACACTTGAAGCATTCACAAATCTTAACAAAGCCTCTTGTTAATTGTACCTCTCAAAGCTCCTAACAGCTGTGTGGTGGATCCATGGTAAGCTTGTAGAAGAGACATTTCTAATAATCCCTCCTATGTAGCTTTAGGCTTAGCTCATATTCTTAGAAAGGTGCTCTCACTCAGTCATAAAGTTTTTTTTTTTTTGACCCAGATTATCTCCAGATGTGTGGTATTGCTCTTCTGACACTATGATGGGATTTCCTTTAACAATTGCTCACAGACTGTCTGTAAGAATCTTATTTGGTAAAGCATTTTATTGATTGAAATGTGTGTAGACTCTGAACTTTCAGTGGATATCATCAGTATCTCTATTGGTTTAATGGTTTATTGGTTAAATTTTCTCTAAAATAACTAAAAATGCTGTTTAAAAAGAAAAACAAATCAATCCCTAAGCCTACAGTAAAACCAATCAACCTATCACCACCACCAAACCCCAATCTCCACCAACCTGTGTTTTAATTTCTTCCCTATACCAAAGGAATAAATTGGAAAAATAAAAACAAAAATTCAAGTACAGTCAGAATTATGTCTGACTGGAATCTGCTGACAGAATCTTAATGTTGAGCAGTTCTCTCAGGTGTAACAAATTCCTTTAGAAGCTCTTAGAAATATGGAAAAAATCCTTGGCTTTTGTATCATTCCACCATCTATATTTAAATAGTACACAGTTCAGGACTGTAGCAGTCTTCCAGCCTTGTCAAATATTGTGAATTTTTTTTTCAAAGTTTACATTTTTCTCAATATATTCTTGATATGCCTCATGTTTACTGTTTGTGGAGACAGGAGTGGCATTACAATCAGAACAGCAGCAAAATTTATAATTCTTACTTAAATTTCTTACAAAATGATTTGTCATTTCTGTGGAATGACAAAAGAAGGATCACTTAATGTCAGAAATTAGTGAGATGAGGGGAAAAAGGCATAAAAGTTTTTTCTTGTTACCTTTTTAATGATTCCTGACTAACATAAATCATAATTTGTCCTTTGGTAACCTGGTCTAGTGGAGAGTGTCCTTGCCCATGGCAGGGGCTTGAACGGGGAGATCTTCAAGGTCCCTTCCAACCTGAACCACTCTGTGACTCTGACAGCTTCGTACTCTGGGGTTACTAATTGAGTAAAGACCATAAAGATGACCCTGTGCTCACTGTTGCTTGCAGTGCATTAAATGAAATATTTTATTGGCACAGACTAGAACAGAAATCCCTTCTCATTTATTTTTCCCCTCATCCTCTTTTCCGTCAGCTGCTTGCCATTCATCATTCTTCTGTTTCTTCCTTCTTTTTTTTCTCCCCCGCTTGTTTAATTGCAGGTATGATTGCATGTTTACAAAAGACTGTTTTGACATTCTGTTCTCTTGAATAGAAGTACAAAGCAGTAGAACTGATTGGTAACAGTGCTATAAAGGAATGGGTGATGAAGTAGGTCTGATCAGGGCTGTCCAAAGGAGCTGAAGGTTCTAAGGCCTTCAAGGATATTAATGCAGAGAACAGATTACAATCAATTAAAACGTTCAGTGGAAAACTTAGTACCTACAGGTATAAATTAGCTTTGACAATGTGTGTGTAAAACTTGTATTAATCAGATGATTTTAAGACATCCAGAGCCTGAAGGGGTATGAATGGTTTTCTTGTCTGTCCTGTAATGGGAATGTAGGAAAAGAGATACCATAGGTTCTATTTACTAAATCATAATGTCAAGTAAGAATCAGAGGTCATGGAAAAACATCAAACCCAAAATCTTGAATGTTGTTTATGGTGCCTGTAGTAAATACTTTGTGGCATTTTAGTTACAGTCTATAGACTAACTGATTAATTTGGGTTGTAAATTACATATAATAACTGTAATCTTATGTCAATGCTTAAGTAAAAAACACCACTCAGTCTCACTAAACATCTGTTGTCAGGTAAGTATATTTATTTTTGTGGAGAAAGGGCTAAGTCCTGTTGTTACTTAGGTGAAACACTTAGGTTGCTAAGACTAGCTGTGGTCAGTTTTTCCTATTATCAACTTTTTTTTCCTGAAGTTGCCTGTTCTCAGAGGATGTAAAGCTTTTCTGCTGATCTGAGAGAGTTTACCTAGAGGTGTGAGCATGAAGAGAGTAATGAGCAAAGAGATCTGTGTGATTGAATAAAGTAGGAGCATGGAGTTTTGAAGTGTTTTATTAAAGACTATGAAGCTGTGTATTATCTTTAGATACTGAACATGAAAAAACTACCCTGCACTGGCATAGGTGCACTTAATGTCTTGTTAGCTTTCACCAGCATGTGGAGTACACAACTATGTACTTTACCATTTTGCTTTAATTTTTGTCTTAGTCACTAAACTTGCATTTTCATGCTTTTTATGCAAGTTCAGCAACAAGAAAACACGCTTTTAAGTAGTTGAATATGGCAGCTCTTGAAAAAAGTAATAAATATATTTTCTGCTGATGCTGTCATGTTGCTAGAGCATTTCTTCTGTTCACACAAATTAACCTGAATTTAAATCCTAGTTGAATTAACTCCTTTTTTTTTTTTTTCAAGGGGGAAAATGCAGTTTCCCAGATATGTCAAAGTCATGCAGTTGTTTCAGATATCTCATGTGTTGTATATGGTGAAAATCCTCAAAACAATAAGAATTCTGATAATTATTTTTTTTGTATCTCAAAAAAAAAAAGAAAAAAGGATAAAAAGAACAAAACCAAACCTTCTGGTCTTGATGGAGGTCTCTGTTTTCATCTTTTTGTAGATCTGTTAAGCTTTGATGATGTAATAGCTACCTCAGATAACCTGTCACACCCGACTGCGAACCGGCCCAAGATGCCTGGTAGGAGGCTGCCCTCCCGTTTCAATAGCAGTAGTCCTGTGAGTATTTTGGGGGTGTTCTCCTAATAGGGAACTAGAAACTGGCTTTCCAGGAAACAGGACTGCAGTGGGGAGTATTCTTCTGAGCCGTTTATCTGTGAGCAAAGTGTTACAGGGGTGTTCAGTTCCTGGAGGTTTTATTGCAGGGAGGTCCATTCCCAGCAGGGAAGTGAATTTAAGAGAAACAGCTGGAACTGTGCTGCAGCTGAAGGAGTGTTTATATTCCATGGGGTGTTGCTGCAGGAAATGCTCAGCTCTTCTGGCCTCACAGATGGTGAAATAGGTGTTGTACATACACACAGATTTGAAAGTGTCTTTAGTGACTTTCACAATTGGCCACTATAAATTTGTATTTTAATGCTGCTGTAACTTAGGGCTTATGATGTTAGTGCTGATGTGAGGTTGGCAGACAGGTGCAGAGTCCTTGAAATCAGTTTTTGTCACTGGATGCTGCGTAATTAGTCATGCAATTGCCACATACAGTTACTGCCTATTTGTGTTTTATGGAAGCACCTACAGGCTCCCAAAAGCATCACAGGTTTAGGTATTGGAAATATGCTTGAAAATCCTACCCAAGATTCCCGTTTCCGATTTAAGTTCACATGAATGTGGGGAAGGAAAATTATGACTGTCAGGGACAGAAAAGTCTTCTAGTGTAGCAATTAAAGTTTAGTTACTTGGTTTTCCCCTTGCTATTGCATTTTCAGACAACTTTTTTAATTTACTTTTAAGTTTTGTTTTGTTTTGTTTTTTTGTTTTAAATTCTGAAAACCTTTTCATTCCTTATGAATGGTTTACCAGGCAAATCAAAATGTGGGTCCAGAAAAAAGTTTGAAGGTGCAGAAAGAAGAAGAAAGTGCCAAACCAAAGCCAGTTGAAACAAAGAAGGTATGATGCTACCAAAGTGCCAGAGGAGTACCAGGCAGCTTGGTGTTCTGTTCATCCTGTTTGCATTTCCAGTACAGATTCATGCAACCATATGAATGCCAGTGCTTGTATTTAAGTACAAGTGAGCTGAGTCATTTAATATAAAGTTCATAGTAAGAAATTTAGTACTGAAGCTTATTTATACTTAAAGAGGGCATGACTTCTGATGAGAACTGTTGTGTCAGGTGGTATTCCCCAATTAAGTTCCATATCTACTCTGCCTTCAGTCTCCTGACAGGCAGAACAACTGAGCAGATCAGCAAAGTGCTCAAAAGCTCGTTTATAACAATCCAGTGGGATCCATTAAATCACTTTTGTTTTAAGTGTAAAGGACTTTGTATGTGTAACTACATTGTTCAGTGGCTACAGGAACCTCAGGCAAATCCTTAATTAAGAGCTGTGTAAAGTAACTATCTTATATAGTCCAGTAATCCATTCAAACTGGACATAGTTTTTTACCTTTTAGGTAGAAAATTAAGGGAACTTAAGCATGTTTAGCTCCCACCCTGGTACAGCCTGTGTGCTGTAAGCATTCAGTTCATAAGGATTTCACTTCTTACCTTTATACCAATTTATTTTTTTAGCCATCTGCATTCAGCCCACTGATTCCACCTTCATCTCAGAGACCAAGTTCTGTCATACTCGACTTCTTACCTGGAGACCTCCAACTTAAAGGAGAAACAGAGGATGAAAAAATTTCTGTGGAAGACCTCAGGTCTCAGATTAATGATTTAATGGGTCTAGTAGACGCACTGAAGAAAGAGCATGGGTAAATATTTCCTTTGTCAATCTGCAAAGGGTTATATAAACATCTTATAAGTGTCTTCACTGCCAGAATAAAATAAGAAAGCTATTCTATGCTAATAACATACTAATACAAAAATTCAGATGTTTTCTACTGAAATTGATCCTATTAAATGTCCTAAATATGTACAAATTTGATGTCAGAGTATTTTTGGAATTCTTATGCTTTTCCCTCCTACTTGCACTTCTAATGTGCATCTAATGGAGGCACTTCTGCATCCATTACATATTTTGGAAAGTATTTCTTAAACAGTTTATGCCTTCATTGTAAGGAAAAGTAGTTAATTTTTTGTGGTGATGACATAAGTGCATGTGCAGGCCTTGTGTAACCTTTTACACAAGAACTTGCAGTATTTACGTGACTGGTAGGAACCTTATATTCTAAGTAATTTATTCTCTGTGTAGAAGTAGCCAGGTTATTTGAGGTTATTTTAGCTTGAATTCAACTTAAAATATTAAATAACAGCACAGACTTTTAAGTAGCCTCCTTAAAATTTGGATTAAAAATTAGGGATAGGTGAATAGCTGTAGGTAAGAAGTGTTGAGTGATGGTGGAAACTTGTCCAACAGATGAGAGTAACAATTCACTGGTGCCTTGTTTTGTGAATCCCACTTGTAAAATTCAACAAGGCCTGTGCATTCTGTCCTCAGTAATGTGAAGTTTCTTTTTCCCCCTGCTAACTTCTGTTTCCATCTTAACTACTATTAGGAGAGAACTAGAAAAACTAAAGAAGGATTTGGAAGAAGAGAAGCTGTTGCGAAGCAATCTGGAGGTAATGTTACCACTATGGGAGGGCATGGGGAGTTTATGGGTGTGTAGGCTTTGTTCTGGGATTTGATGTCACAGGAAAGTCTTAACAAACCTGTTCAGTCTCTTTTTGTGTTGCTGTTGTATTTGGTGATTGAATGAATGCCTCAAGAGGCATTTGGATGTACAGAGAAGATCCAAATTCAGATTTCTTTTTCTGGAATGTATTTTTAACAATAATTTAATAACATAAATAGTAACACTTGTGGAAGTTGGGATGGAAGTTCAGTGTTGCTGGATTTTGCTCTTTGCTAGAAATATGTCCAACTGGACAAGTTCCAAGAGAGACAGTAAATACTTTGCATTTATAAGATTGAAAGACCTATTTCATTTAGGTAATCAGAAGAAAAATAGGGCAAAAGCAAACGTCTCTAAATTTTTGATTAATGGTTTTAATATTAAGTGTGGATGATTTGCCAAAAGAACAGAATGCATCTGAAAAATTTCCTTATGAATGAATGCCACTCCTCAGTTTACTGATGAAGAACACTACCTGCAGTAGTAGGTAGTAGTATGATGCCGTTAAGTAGTTAATAGGATGAGCTCACTGTAGGAAATTATTTCAGTCTGGTACAAAAGGGCATTTTATTTGTGAAATAGTACAGCTTGCTGGCTACAAAACTACTGGAGACACATGAGAGAAACTTCTGGTGAGTCTCTCTTTTTAATGTGACTCTAAAGCATTTAATGAAGATGCCTTAAATATGCACTGGAGCTGACGAGGAAGTAACTCCAGGTGTCCTCTAAGTCCGTTTCAAGAAATACAAATTAATCCAGGCAGTGTTTTGCATGAAAGGCTGTTTTAGAAAGTTATTCTCAGGTGATGGTGCAGCATTACATGGGGACATGTCAGGTGATTCCATAACCCAGATTTGACTTCTTTTTTCAGAGAGTTTATTCAGATAAACCCATTTCTAAAACAGACTTTTTTTTTTTTAATTTTAAAAAGATTATACCAGAACTGTAGTCAAATCTGTAATTATTTTAAATTCCTGTTCATTTAGCAATACAGTGGTACAAAATCAACTGTAAGTACTGAGCTGTCAAATGCTTCTATGGTGCAATACATAAGTGTCTTTGAAATGCAAAGATTATAACTTTGGTGAAAGCTCTGAAGACTTTATACCTACTTTAATACTGACTTTCTTTTCAAAATATCTGTTTTTTTCAGCTTGAAATAGAAAAATTGAAGAAAGCAGTGATGTCTACATGAGACAGCTATGGACTCAATGTTTTTAACTCACTAGGAATTCAAAGCTGAACACAAGGAGAACTGACTCTTATTTCGTTATAATGGATGCTGGTGTTCTACAGTCTAAAGAAAAAATATAGTAGAAAAAAAAGGAATATAGTCTTATATTCAGAAAGACAAGAAAACAAAAAAGAATAACGGTGTAATTTTTTTGCCAATATAAAAGAGGCCTTATTTCTTACTGTGCTGGAATTGCAGACCTTATTTTTTTGGTTTGCTTGAAAATACTACTGAATCTGTATAGAAAGGAGAGGGAATTCTTAATAGATTTTTATTGAATACCTGTAGCTTAATTTTTAAAGAGATCTATACAATAAATAGGGTGATCTGTCTTTGCAACTAATCTGTAAAATAGTCCATTGGAAGGGATGGAATAACTGTATCCTAATTGTAGTCACTAGTTTTCCCCACCTGCAAAAGGGAATATGTGATATTTGTATAATTTTGGCAGTCTTACCCAGGGTTATGCTGATGTGCCTGTCTGCAGTGAGAATATTAATACTATGCTGTTCATGAGTAATGAGATAGGAATTTGTTACTGCAATGAAGCAGGTGAGACTCCTGTGCATTGTAGAAAGATTGAATGATCTAATCCGAGTAGTTCAGCAGAATGGTTTGTCTCTTGCACTATTGGATTAAAAAGGGATTTAAGACTGAATTGTGAAATCATGACAAAATTAACTGTTAAACCACAAAATGCAAGGAAATCAGAAACAAAGTGAGAGCCCAGTCTTAACTCAACCTGTTGTGCCTAAACTATTACAGTATACAGCATGAAAGAGTAAACCTTAAGTCACAGCGTCTGTACTTCTGTGTTTCTGAAGTCATCAGTCTTTCTAGTTGTTCAAGTATGCATCTTGATCTGTTTTTAAAATAGTCAGGTTTTGTTTATATCTCCAAATAAATCCCTTTGGAACTTTGATACTCTCAAAAGCTCTCAATATTTATATATTTATGCCATAAACTTTCTCAATATATTAAGTACCTCTAAACTGAGTAACGTCTTTGTATTTAAATGAGTGATTGGAGCAATTGCTTTGACATCATTGTGCTGGTGTCCAGGATGGTGTCTTTACTTTATGGAAAAGAAGTTGAGCTCTTGTGGATTACCATTATCTTTAACCCCTGGACTCAAAACTTGCACCAGAATAATACACAAATAACATGCAAAGTGATGTGAGACAATGGTATTTATTGCTGTGTTTGTCTGATTAAAGAATTAAAAACATACAGCTTTAGAAAATCAGTCAAATTCATTAGTTCTGTTAATCAGCTCATTTCCTTTAGGTCTCCTATAACTTAAAAGGCAAAAACATGCCATATAGTTTGGCAACTTCATCAATAAAAGAAAGTAATTAAGTTTTTCTTCATGGGAGTAGTCATAAATAATTATTCAGTATGTCACTTGTTCAAGTGACATGCAAATGTTAATTCTTGAGAGTAATCCCACACTGTGGGATTCTTCCACAGTTGATGTGTCATAAAATACAAATGTCAAAAAGTTAGTTGGGGAATGTTTGTCCATTACTGATTCAGATAATTCATGAAATCTGATTGAACCCTGATCAATACACTATGCAGTTACTGAGTAATATTTGCTAGTCAAATTGCTAGTAAGGTGATTCACTCTTAGTGCTTTTAACCTTGAGTTGCCCAATTGCATCACAAATGAATTAAGGAATCATGTGTTTCTCGTCGGACACTAAACTCTTGCCTGGAATTCGTACCTGTAAAGCAGGTGATGAGGGACAAGAGTTGAGCCTAATGGAGGACCCAGTTTTGTTATACAAGCTCTTCACTGTGATTGAAGCAAGAAAGAAATCTTGGAAGGGGTCGCTCTGCAGAAATTGTGCCTGTGTGTGAGCTTGCAGAGAATGAACAGAACAAGACAATCAATTAAAGCCACAAATGAAAGGTGTTTGTTATGTAATGGCCTTTGTTCGCTATAGCAATAAATGACCCAAGTGCAATGACTTGATTTAATAAACCCTCCTTTAAAAGTCGCTGCTATGAGTATTTGTAGCCATAAGGAAGTTGCCCTGATGTGTGTCTGTCTTGTTTTCAGCTAGTGTTACGTACTGGAGTGGAGGGGGAGAGGGTAATGGTTTTGGAGACATTCCACAGTACAAGTTCCTAAGAGCAGTGTGCTTCACTGACTTGTCTACCGGTGCTGTAAAATGATGCATGCTATCCAAACTCAGCAAATAAAATGAGTATAAAAACCTCTTCAGGTGTCTGCTCAGTTCTGTTCAGGAGTGTTTTGTGTGCCATTACATTCTTTGCAAGGAGGAGTATGAGGAGTGGAAGCAAAGTATTTATGATAGTTCCCCTTTAAAGTTTTCAGATTTCCATTTACTCACGGGGATGCTCTGGCTCCTGACTAACAGGATGGCTTAGGATCCAAACAGTTGGAAAGCTCAGTTTTTATTTGCAATTATAACTGGGAATATTTAACTTCTCAGGATCTATTCATTCCCCCTTTTTTTCCCCTCTTGGCCCATATTGAACTGACCGTACTGTGAATCATCAGAGGCTTTATTTAAGATCCCTATTGCCACTCAATAACATGGATAAATGCATGGTTGAGTCCCCTTCTTAAGTATATAGTGAAGAACTGAAGACTGAGGGTATGGCATGTTTAGTAAGGATATGGAAGAGGGAAAAGGCACATAGAGAAGAGAACAGCAGAAGGGCATTTTTAAACTGCCAGGTTTTCATTCAGTCTTGTCTAAAAATCTTCTGGTAGCACACAAGGTATAGTTAAAAAAAAAAAAGCAAAATTATAGGTCTACTTACTTGATTTTTTTCCCACAAAGATGAATTTTTTCATTAATGTTAGTGGAAGTGAATTTCTGATGGATCTGTGATTACTGCAAGGTTTGAAGTGTATAGCAAAGTATCTGTTGAACTTTTAAATAAATACCTGGTATTCATTAAATTAGCACAAGTCTGTTGTTAACTCTTTCCAAAGGAAATGGTAAACCCAGGTTTCCACAGCTGCCTTTTGGCTGCTGTAAAAGTTACCTGAGATGTTTCTGATCTCTGAGAAAGCAGGTGGTGAGCACAGCATTGAAGCAGCTGGTTGCAGGTCTTGGGTAATTGGATTTTGCAAGAGCTGTGAAGACAAACCCCTCCCTGTTTGTTCCTGAGGAATGTAAACAACCCCAACCAGCTTGCATCTGATGAGGCTGATGCTGCTGGGGTCAGGGCTTGGAGTGCCCTCTTTGTTGGGAGTCATGGTTTCAGTCTCTTTCCAAGCCCCCCTGAGAGCCCAGATTCACACACCTTCCTCCTGGGAGAAGCGTGTGGGTGCCTGAGGGCTGCAGGATGTTGGGTTTTGTGTCCTTCAGAGAACTCTTGATGTTGAGGAGGTGTTGAGAATCAAGGGCCATTCAGTTTTGCTGTCAGAGTAAGGGGTCAGGGAGTGTGTAGAAGCACAGCTCCAGGTGATATGGGCAAGAAGCCTTTTGAAACATGTTCATACCTTGATATGATACGGTTTTTAGCCTTAAAGTTTTTTTTTAACTGATCTCTATCTGGTTGTGTATCAAGTACAAGGAATAAAACCTTCCCAGGTGGCTATACTTGATTGTGCCTGGCTAAATTCCTACTTGATGCTGATGTGAGACTGGCTATATCAAAGCAGAACAGTAAATAATACCTATCTTTAGGTTAAAACTGGAGACATGACTGTGGCTGAGCACAGGCTGGAGTTCTGACAGTAGACAAAATGACAGGAAACCCTGTAAGCTCCTGACTAACACACTGCAGGAATGTAGAAAAAAAATTAGTGATCAGAGCTCTTCCAAGTCAGGCCTATGTGGAGGAGTGTTAGGAATTGCTCTTCTCTAGTGATAAACTACTTGCTGTAAATTTCTGGCTATTGGAAATCTGGTTCTTGGAGTTGAGGTGATATTTAGAGAGCCAATAGTGACCATGGCACAAGGTTCAGCAGGTATCTGTCACCCTTTATGATGGGGTAGCCCTGAAGAAAAGATTATTATTTGCCCATTGGGCTTTTTAGATGCACAAGGTGCTGTCAATAGTGTGCTCTTGCATTTATGAAGGATAATGCATTAACTTGACCAGATTTTGATAATTAATGTTTTGAGGTCTTTAAGAGATTGTTGTTTAGAGGAGTTACGGATGCTCCATCCCTGGAAGTGTTCAATAATAGGTTGGAGGGTGCTTAAAGCAACCTGTGACAGTGGATGGTGTCGCTGCCCGTGGCAGGGGATTGGAACTGGATGGTCTTTAAGGTCTCTTCCAACCCAAATCATTCCATAGTTCTGTGAAGTGCAGGAGAGCAGAAGCTGCCACCTGCACCCAGAGGAAGGGCACCAACCCCTCAGGTGTGACTCATCCCTGTGGACTCCTGGCAGAGGTGGCAATCTGGATTTGTGGGTGTGTTTGTAACGTGTTTTGTCATTTTGCAGTGCAATACCTTCATCTGCAGGTTCCTCAGCCTTAATCCAGTCAGGCAAGAAAAGAAGCAGCTGCAGCCCAACATTATTTCTTCATGGGAAAACTCCAAATGAATCGGAGCACCAAGACAGGGCTGGGTAAGGCAGAGTGAGACTGGGAAAGGATGGCAGCACATGAGTGGTTAGACAGTCACATCTGAGACCTTGGGGGATCCCTGGCTGGGTTAATTTTGCTCACAGTATTCCCTGGACTACTGAAAACAGTGAGTACTTCCACAGAATGTCATTATTCCAGAGCTGCTGGAGAATTATCAGTAGTCTGTGAAATTGGTTCATTCATAATCTGAAATGCATTTAATTGCTAAGGCTGTTTTTACCTTGGGCTTCTTTCCTTAATTTTATATTCTTTTTACATCTGTGAAAATAATTAGATATTTTAATTAACCTCTGGGGTTTTTTTCTGCTAGTTTTGTAATTGGTCTCTAATCAGTGTTGTCACTTTGAAGAAAATTTGGAGTTTTCTTACAGCTATATATAAAGATAACTTTCCTTTTAGAACTTGCTTCACTTAAAGCTACACTTTCCAACTATGATTCCTTTAAAAATACAACTAATACCATTCTGAAGAATATAGAGCTTTACTTTTTATCCTTGGATA